AAAAACATTTCTATTCCAGCTAATCGTAAGAATTTTTCGATGACAACAAGCATTCGAAACTTCCTAATGTCAGCAGATTTATTAAAACTCGACATCCATAACAACCGATCAAAATTGCAATATTCTAGAATCATTGCACAACACCAAAACCAAACCGCGACTCGTTCGCATCACATCAGATTGACCCACCTGACTGAAGAATTCGAATGCGATCCAACCGCACCAATTCATTCCCGAACTCTACCGCAGCCTTTCGACTGGCCAAATCGTGCACGTGTGTCACTAACCAATTCACGAATTCGATCGACAAAAACATTTCCGCCGGATAGCGCGCATTGTTCTCCGGAGAGCAGACGACCGGCACATAAAAGTCACGCCACGCACTCAGCACTGCGTCCACATTCGCTTTCGAAAGGTTCAACTCACTCCATTCCGTCGAACACGATGACAATGAAACCGGCCTGATAGTGCTGCCGATTAGGCAAAAAAAAAAGAAAACAATTCAGTTTTTCGAAAATTTTCAAAAATTCGAGAGGATTTTTCACGCAAATTGAATTCCTACGTAAGATTCTCATTTGTGAACCTCAATCACGCGAATAGAACGAACGACAACTAGTTTTATCACTGAGAAAAACCAATTTCCTCGCAAATTACAATGAAAAATCTTCGAATTCCGCAAGAAAAGCTGCCCTCAGAAAACGTGATTTTCATATTTTCACTTAAATTTCTCAAGCTCTCTCTTTAAAATTCTCCTATTTCAGCATAACGAACAAATCTTAGACCAATCTGACACTTTCAAATACGAATCGCTATGTTAATCGAATTAGTAACACTCACAGCCAACACTACAATCGCACAATCAAAATCAACAAATCTCAGCAGGTAAATTACCCAACAATGCACGCACCTTTTGTGTGTGTTTTGTGCAGAATTCTTGCGTCTGAATCGATTCATTACTTCGATGAATCTCACGAAAGATTCCTCTTGTTTACGAACCCATGTGCTGTCCTTGTTCAGCCGCTTACTGTAGCAATCGCCACCTCGTTTCTCTTGCAGGATCGACTTTGTTATCGGTGTACACATCGGTGTTATCATGAATCTAAACCACTCCTCAATTGCTCCCTAATCATTTCTACAACATTTCATCTCTGCCTATTCCAACGCTAATATCTTCATTCGGAGATCACAAAGGAAACAGTTTGGGTTAATACTAGTAGACCTACTCCTATACCACGGCGAGATGGCCGAGTGGTCTAAGGCGCTGGTTTTAGGCACCAGTCTCCCCGGAGGCGTGGGTTCGAATCCCACTCTCGTCATACCTTTTGCTTCACCTTCGTAAACGTTTTTCAAATGTCTCTTCATGTTTAACTCAGCGCAAAACATCATTTTCTAAGGATTACCTTGTTCCAAAACATTTCATATCGTCTTTGAACAGTCTCGGCACGTTGCGATACTGAAGTTGTGTATCCAGCAAACTCCAGTTCAACGTATCCACATTATGATATTTGAAACTGAAATCTCCAATGAAATGGATTCGTTTTCACAAAATTTTATTCAATTCACTACTCATCTAAATAAGTGGACAGCCTGAATGAAATGAGAAAACTCAAACTGATAACAAATTTGATAACATTTCAAACGAAAAAAAATCGGTTCAAAAATGTCACATTTTCAAAATTCCATTCTGAAAATAGTCCCCAACAGAGACAAGAAACGCACGTTGTTTTGCTTTGTATGTACTCCTTACTGTCCGGCACTTGGAATAAATAGCGATAGTTTCGTTTCTCGCTCATTTCCTGCAGTTCATTGCGATCGATTCTCGGCAGGAATTGCACTACCGTAATTACGTCACCCGACAAGAATAAACGGTGATAGATACGACTGAACGACAGGAAACATTCGCGTGACACCAACTTCAAACTCTCCATTCGTTCCGATTGATCCTCCTGAAACATTTGAATTATAGCAAGAACTCCAAAAATTTTTAAAATAAATCTCGAACAACTCAAAAACGAACTTTTACAAAACTTTGAATATCGAAATGAGCCAACTCACAGAAAATACTTCAAACCAAACTCTCAAACAAATTCAACGCTAAAGTTTCGAATTTTTCGCTCAATCTGAATCGACAACACATCATCAAAATACCAATCTAACTGTCTACTACTAAGAAAATCGCCACCTCAAACAAATGACGATCTGAACAAATGAATCAAAAACTCGATGAAATCAACTTCAAAAACTGCTGACGTTAATGCCAATCGCCGCATGAATCATCTTCTTCTTCAGTAACACGATCTGAAATCCCCTCTGCAATCGCTGACATATCAACTGGTCAAATACGGCCATTCGCAGTTGCTCCATTGTTGCATTCTTCGTATCTTGAATCCACTCATGCAACACGTCCTGATCTACTGGCAGTTGATGCTCCTCAAAAACGAATCACAACTTCACTAAGAATCGCGAAAATTTTTGAAACCAATTTATCAATAAACCATTATATAAGCATTTATGGTTCCTGCAGAAAGCACTCTTTTGCGCGATAAAATTTCTCGTAAGCATCATTGAATTCTAGACATTTATTCCATCTGACTGACTTTCAGAATATTTCGACGTTTAGTTGCAACAATTAAGAGTTTCAATTCATTACTCTCACTTAAACTGTTGTGAGTGAAATAAATGCGTCTTGATCCCATAGAATATGACTAACGATAAGAATTACAATTTTGGTTACATTCAATGTTTTCAAACGATATGTTACGTACAGAAAATACCAATAAAATCGCCAATAATATAAAAACGAAACCAAACCAAATATGTATATAATATAATACCTTCACGACGTAATCCGATTGGATACTTCGACCATCCGGAAAGAAGTCCGTTGTGATCGGTAGCAAGGCCGACTTTGTTAACGATTTCCAATCAACGCATATCTCCATATCTGGATTCCATTTCTCCTCACCCGTTGAGCCCCATGCCCAAACGCATTTCTTACCCCCAGCACCTAGACCCGTCACTCTGAAAACTTTTCTTTTTTTTTAATTTCTTGGTGAATAAAACGGTAAAATGACCGACTGCAATAGTAAGATAACAACTGAAATCCAATCAACTCATCAACGATTCGCCATTCACCTGACACTGAGTGGATCGATTTGTGGAGAGGGCGGACGTCGGGCCGGTGATCCGTTGTGAATCGGAATACCGACCGCGGTGACTGGACTTTCCGCAGGTTCCGGTTCATCGCCTTGCGTCACTTGAACGATACTTCGTCCGGCCACGTAGTGATGCGCCAATTTGGCCCTACCCATTATATCCACCGGAAAGACGTGAATCCAACGACGACGATTTGCCGTTATTCGAACTGCAGGTTGAAAAATTTTTTTGATGGAATAATTTCGATACAATTCTCACTTCTCTTTTTCCTGGTCTGTTAAAAATTTTCACAACACTTTACTGCACTCTTCCAACCACAGAAACCCGTAAGAGTCGTCTTTCAGTAACTTCTGAAGAAGATTCTTTATTGTTTAAACAACGATGCAATTCGAACCGCTGAATTCTTCCGGTTTGAATGGATTGATCAACGATCGTGTTGTCGACTGTTCTGACTGCTGCTGATGCTCTGAGATCATTCCGTACGAGCCTCCAGAACCAGGAGCAGTCGCGTATTTACGCATCGATAATGACGGCGGTCTCATCTCGTCACGAAGACGTTCACGTTCACGATACTCGAGTCGTGTTGATTCCAGACTACCCACTCGTAAATCCGACGATTTTCGACGTTGCGCTTGAACCGGAAGCATCGGAGGTTTATTGCTAGTGACCAGTGTTGTTGGCTGGTCAGCATTTGCTACTTCTTGTCGTTGGACTGCGGACGATTGTTCGTAAACACCTGACAGCGTTGAGGCACGTTCCAACGAGCCATACATCGTTTTAGTTGCAGCATTTCCTTCCATTTCACAACGCAACTTCTAAATTCATACAAATGCCAGAAATATACACGAATCTTAAGTAGGCAGCTTCACCGTCTCACAAATTTTACAACCAAAATTCACAAATTTTTGCTTCTAAATTCAAAAANNAATAATCTGCTTAGTGGTGTCCACCTTGGGTATTTCTCAACTGAAATGGGTAAAGCAACATGAAATAAGCCAGCACTCACCGATGGAATCTCCATAGCCGTTCTCGACTTGATCGGTGATATTATATCCGTATTGAACAGTTCACACGCCAACGTACTTGACGACAACGAGTTCGGTGAACTGCCATCCAGCAACGAAGCAAACGCCTTTTCGTCATACACATCCATATTGTCGATTGGTCGATCGTCAGTTTCCATCACTAGGCCCATTTTTGTATCCTCAAACATCATGACAATAGTACCTATTCAAAGTCTTGCTAGAATCAGATGATAGATACATTTTTATAAATGATTGCTTTTCAATATCATTCTTCAAATACCTTCAGAATTTCAACAGGCAGATTGATTCTCGGTTTGAATTTAATTGAGATCGCTGATCGACGACTCATCTGATAATACGAAAAATTCATCCAGTGCGGAATGAAATAATCCTCAAACGGATGCGCCCCCTTTCCACTGACCCTGAATTGAAAATTTTACATAAACCAAATACGAGCTGATCATATACCACACCACCAACAACAATAGACAATAACAAATATAAACCTTTGAAAAACGAAAAGTGGTACGGCGTGCAATGGCTGTTCTCCTAAACACACCACGTCCAGTGATATACCCATATCAATCAGTCTCTGCTTCGTGAAATTCACCAAGTGTCTATCCACATTGAATACACCTCCTCCGGGAGTTACGTACATTATCTGAATTTTCAAAAACAAATAAAATTAATGAAATTTCAACGATTGAACACTCTTTTTCAATTCGATGATTCAAAATGTTACACATCCTCTGTCGTAAATAAATTCTCCCAAACTGTTACCAACTTGATTGAACGGACTGAAAGATTTTGAATTCAACGATTTAAAATTTTGAAATCTGCACTGAATTTCAAATGAACTGTTTGCTAATGAGCGATAACGAAATAGAACACCACCATAACAGCAACAATATTATAAATCAAATACAGTTTACTAGATATACGTATGAGAATTGATAAATATGAACAAATTAAATATTATAAGACAGAATACAAAAAACAAGTAAGGAAATAAAAAGTGTCATGAATGAAAGCAATCGCAACAAAGCTCCTCGACCTGTTGTCCGGCCGTTTCAAAACGTCGATCTGTATAGTAGCATTCAAAGGTATTCATCGAAATGTTCAACATTTGCAAGAAGTTCCCATCTGCTGCCGTTGAATTCACAGCCAAAGGCTCTGAACCCGTATACATCTGAAAGTATAACATTATTTATTCACGAACTCAATCATTAATTGATGCACATTGCACAAAAAGGCACTCATCAAAATCGCTCGCTCTATTTCTCACAGTTCATTACTGCTTGATGAGCGATTCCGCAAATTGGCTCTCACAATCTCCCTTCCGATTGCAAATGGTTAACCTAACCCCATTTTACAGTTCCAGTTGAGCACACTAGTATTCGACTGGAATTACTTTCATTTAAATAAAAGTATTTGCAAATGACATCAAAAAGCAAATGACAAATGATGACGAGTGAGAAATTTTCGAACAAACCGGAAATTCTTTTCGAACGTATTCTTCCACTGAGTTTTTATATGTGTAGAAGACTAAACGCAACTGCAAAATTGGCAAATTTTACTCTAATTTTACTCCAATAAAATTCATTATTGTTCCATGCAGAAAAACAGAACTAAACAAAACGAAAGCGATTAGATTTTCTACAGAAAAAAACTGTACAAATAAAACCATTCAAATTCTTAAAAATCCTGGAAAAGTTTTTCAAATTTTGCAAATCTCGTCGAACTTTTACTCCAACTCCTTGAAACATCTCAGAATCGCCGTCATCACACATACAAAGCAGCACTTCAATCGCTAATCAGAACAAATCGTCGAATCAATCAAAGAAATCAATGAACAATCACAAAGTAATCGTATTACCTTCGGTAATACATGTTTCCAGTCGTCGTAGTGTTCGTTTTGCACAATTAAACGGAAAAAATCCTAAATTCATTCTTTTCAATTCATTCATTTCGACTGTTTTATACACAATTCACGATGCAAGAAAAAATATCAAATCGCGCAAGATTCTAACGCATTTCGATGATGAAATGATAGGAATGATGCTAAGAATTAAGAGTTTTCTTGAATATCAATTAATATTAAGCGAAAAGAATGTGGAAATTCATTCTCAAATTCGATCATTTTGCTGCAAATATTTCAAATAAAAACCGAAAATATTGTAAATCAAAAAGATGAACTCATGTACAAACAATCAACCTGATAATATTTGCCTCGATGATCCTTACAAACTTTCTCTTTCATTTCCTCATTCATTAACTCCTCTTTGAAATACCATCTGCAAATATTTTTTTCATTCATTCATTCATCAAACCGATGTTCAATTACTTCTTCGGTCANAAATATTACGAAATAAACAAAAGTCGATGAATAATAAATAATTCACCTCGAACAAACAATGAAAGATATATAGTGTGCACAATGTTGATCTTTCCAGCGTTCAAACAATTCCGGAAAGAACCCATTAACACACTTCTCAAAATACAAATCACCGTGCGGATCGATATCCCACATCTCCGAGCTCATTTGCACATAAACGAGTAGCTTAAATATACACTATCACATCGATAATGCATTTAAAACGAATCGAATCAAGCGATTTTGACCGACTATTACATAGTGTTGTTATTCATATTCATCTATGTCTAATTGACTAATACACAACATTCTCATTTACACATTCCTTAAAGTAATTCAATAAAATTTTTTCATATAATTTTCATTATAAAAGAGGAAATTTCGCCATCGCTAACGATAAAATCGCTAAAGAATTTCAATAAACAGTAAACATTTCTGCACACTCACCATTGCACTACACGAACGAAACACAACGCGTGTATCCTCAGAAACATATCCACTTCGTACCTGCAATTTTTGACTACAACATCACTAAATACTCGATCTGACCACATCTCATACGTTTTCAAATTCAGCGACATTCCCCTTCCAAACTCAATCTATTTACATGCATCTATATACACTCAAACTCAATCTGCATACACGCATACTCAAAATATGTCTAAACCTCAACCAATCGAGCTGTGCACTCATTTCTCCTCAAATCCTCTTCAGATGCAATCAATTAATCGTTCTCGCCATGAACGATGACAATCGCTCTCCATCATGCTCGTAAGAATGCATACTAGGTGAATGATAAGCACTTCAATGAACACAACCCCGAACCGTTTCACCCTTGGCCCATAACTCGCAGACTGTTGTTGGAATGCCGAGCCATTCGAACTTCTTACCGATATACGCACACGTGTTCAGAATGCAACTTCGATAACGCCACATATCCGAACGACTCATGTAACGCTCTTTGAACGTCAACTCGATGTTGTCCAACGCTACCTGTCAATTCAGATACCAACTGTTATTTTTATCATTATGACTTGGTATTATCATTACTCTCGTCAGTACCATTACTGTTATTCTTATTATTACTCTCACTACCATCATTATCATTTGTGACTCTATTGTGAATTCTGAACAAATATCTTC